ATTTAAGAAAAAAAAACGAAACACCGCCCCCGTACCGACTCTTTCTCTCACTCCACCCCCCCCCCCCCCCCATGTATATATATTTGTTTATTTATTTATTTATTTATATATATATATATATATATATATATATATATATATATATATATATATATATATATATATATAAGAGAGAGAGAGAGAGAGAGAGAGAGAGAGAGAGAGAGAGAGAGAGAGAGAGAGAGAGAGAGAGAGAGAGAGAGAGAGAGAAGTCCATTACTACCAGAGATGAATAGTAAGAGTAGCAATAAGGTGGTGATGACAATCTGGAATTGCTTGTCCATGTTTCTTTGTGATGAGTGGCTATAAAAATTGAATGTTTTATAGCAGTTTCTCTTGGCAGATTGATAATGTGCATTAATTACGTACCAATCTTTCTTTGATGAACTTATTATCGTCAACAGCACAATATAAATTTAATCGTATTCTCATCTTATCTGCACTAATCTCGACACTACTGACCTATGATGCACCATTACTTACCGTAGATTTGAGGATCATGCTTTCTTCGTTGTATGTTATAATTAATCCATGCATCCTAGGGGGATGACAACCATTGTGAGGAGGATGTGGATCGTAGGGTAGCCCAACCTGCCGGAACTATCGTCAGAGTAACAGATCCACACTTGCCGGTCAAATTACACGGCGGCTTTCCGATGTGAATTTTAGTAGTGATGAGTGATGACACATACATCGATGTTTTGTTCACAGAACAATACTTCTGTTCTTGTTTGCAGAATATTTATCGATCATCTGGAAATTAAATCATAATTGACTTTACAACTCATTAATTCACACTTAAGGTAAACTTTAATTAAATCAATCCAAAAAGTCATATATGATTTTGTATTGTGTTTCTCTTAACAGTAACTAACACCTGGCTGGTTAATTAAGACAATTCTTTAACCTAAAGTCACTGAAAAGATTAAGGTATGTATTAATATATCTTTCCTATTTTGTAAAATGTCCCAATTTGAACATAGATTTTGGGCTGGCTGAGGGAAACCCGGTTTAGTCTGAGACAACAATCGAGCCCGGTTTAGTATGATTCATTAACTGGAGTGAGCCTGTAATCTGTATTAGTTGTTTAATAGGCCTGGAGTAGGTCTGAATTAATTAGTGACCTTAGTTGGGCCTGCTTTAATTATGGAGTGGGCCCATATTAATCTGATATATGGGCCCTGTGTTAATTGTGCATTTTGAGAATGGGGCTGTAATGGGTTTATCTTTTGCTTTGATTAATTCTTAGTTGACTTTAAATATTTTGGGCCGAAATTAATTCTTCAGTAGGCCCAAGTGGACTTAGAATTGAATTATCGTAAGTTGGGCCCAAGTGGGATCTATTAGTGTAGGATCTATTATCAGCCAAGTCCATTTACAACTTCTTTAAGCTTCAACTAATAAGTTATAAATGCACCTTGACAAGCATATATTGTCCAAATATTACTCTATTATGATGTCCTTTCTTGCAGCTAATTGGTTGAACAAGTTACGAATAATATTTATTAGAAGATTATGAATGGATTATTAGTCCAGACAACGAACAGAAGTTGGAATATGAAGAGATATGGGTGGTGGCGGCGATAAGAGGTGGTGGATTTACAATTTTCCCTCTATATTACACTATATATCTATTTAGTCCACTCATAATTTATTAATTAGTCCACCCAAAATTTTAATTAATGCAAAAGATGCCCAATTTATATTAATTAGGCTACTCAAAATCCAAATTAATGCAAAAATAGTCTCAAATTTTATTAATTAGCCCACCCAAAATTGAAATTAATGCAAAAAAACTCTAAAAAAATAATTTCTTCACATTTGGTCCCCCATATTCATAAAAAACACATTTGATCCCTCATATTTCAATAATTTTACAATTTTGAACATTTGCGTTAATTTACCGTTAGTTCTTCAGTTAAAGTAGTGATGGACACACGCTTGATTCCGTTCGTTCTAACGGAAAATTGACGGAAATGACTAAAAGTGTTGAATTTTGGAAACATAAGGGAGAAAATGTGTTTTTTTTTCACAAACGTGGGGATAAAATGCAAAATTGGTGCAAAATTATGTGATTAAAAATGTATTTTTCCCTACTCTAAAACATATATTTTTCTGAAAAGAAAAATAAATAAAATATATATAATACGAAAGCCATGGGGGTATTTTTGTCCGCACGTTGAATTATTACATGTGGTCCAACTCCAAAATTTGAGAAAAAGTTGAGCGCGCAGGTAGTAATTATTATTGTGCATGCATGGATTATAATTAATTAGACCATACAACGACGGAAGCTGAAGATGGGAAGATGCGGTGGTGGGTCGGTGTGAGGAGGAGTGAGGGTGCTACTACTGGTGGTGGAGTTGTGGGGCCCGCAATCGTCCAAACAAATACAGCCACCGTCACATTCAAAATCCTCATATCTACTGCAGTAGATGGCACAAGCACGTACGGGGCTCGCATTTCTCCTTTGGATAACATCTCGTTCTCTTTTTGTATCTGCAATTTTTTCCGCCCTCCACTACTCCTGCATGCATGCATGCATGTTTCCAATCATATATGGTTGTGTGTGCGTGTGTGTGTGTGTGAGAGAGAGAGAGAGAGAGAGAGAGAGAGAGAGAGAGAGAGAGAGAGAGAGAGAGAGAGAGAGAGAGAGAGAGAGAGAGAGAGAGAGAGAGAGAGAGAGAGAGAGACCAGAGTACCACATACGAATAGTAATATCTATAACGTGATGACGATCTGTAATTGCGTGTCCATGTCTCTATGCGAAGAGAGATATACAATAATCTTTGTTGTTATAAGAGTGCGTGTTTTATAGCATGTTTCTGGCACACAGTGTGACATTTATTATGTACATATCTGGGTGAATGAACTTCATTTTCATTTTTTTCTCTCATTCACAGAT